GAAATATAAAGACTTGATAGTATATACAGATGGAGATTCAAAACATGTCAAAAAAACTTTCTGTGTATATATAAAGACTCAGACAGCGTCATGTGTTGCAGGAATGCAGCCATGTTCATTTAAACATTACTCTTGAATTGTATCAGTGTTTTCTGTTAATAAATGTCCAGTGAGAATAACCTCACAGATAAGTAGCAGTTGGGTCAGACGGGTTTGTCACGTCTCTGTCTCGTTGTGTGTGTACGTATAAACTTGTGCGTACAGTTAAGGTCACATTTATATCGATATAGTTTATTTTTTAGCAAACTTTAAATAGAATTTTTATTTTTCTGACGTCAAACAGCACAAACCTTTAAATTACACACACACTCTGCTGGTGTGTGTGTGTGTGTGTGTGTGTGTGTGTGTGAGAGAGAGGGCAGGGTCATACACACAGAGCAACACACCTATGATAAGCACTGAACTTTGATTTGCAGTTTTTTATTCGGCCTGACCGGAGCAGGATGTTGTTAGAAACTTTGTCGTCATTTCATCTCTTCACAGGGAAATCTACAGATGTGACCTCCAGCAGCTGGAGGAAGTCTTGCTAACAGTCCTGACTCTGCACAGAGCGACGGATATCGACCGAAAACCAGGATTTAAAAAGTTTAAGAAGAATGTCCGGCCCCGGTGGTTTGATCTCAGAGTTGATAGTGGATGTGGCATCTTCACCTGATGGTCCAACTGCAAAGCCACCAGCAGACGGTGGTGTGAATCCACTATGTGAGGGGAGAAAGAAGATGAAAGGTGAGGAGGAAGAAGAATATGAGGTGTTAAAGGAGGAGGAAGATCATGGAAACAAGGAGGAGGAAGAGGAGGAGGCGATCAGCTCTGCTCATCTGGAGCCGTGCACGTTGCCGTGGCCTGGAGACAAAGACAAGAGGCCTCAGGCGGACAACGATGGAGCGTGGTCAGAGAGAGGAGTGTCAGAGCCTGAAGAGAGGGACACTGGGATCAGCACAGGAAGTCAGGACCTGTCCGAGAAGCAGAGCGAGGCCTGGAGAGACAGAAAGAGCAGAGCCAAGTGGAGGGAGAGCATGCCTGAGGGAGAGAGGTGGAGGGACGACGAGGTTGAGCCGCGGCGGGACGACCACGGAGACGGCTCTCAGGCAGACGATGAGGAGGAGGATGATGAGGAGGAGGAGGAGGAGGAGGAGGGAGGAGGAGAGCAACACTGGATGTCAGAGAAAGCTGCTCTGTCACCACAAGTCACCATCGTGCATCCGTCCTGTAAAAGTCTTCCAGAGGAGAGTCGGCTCTTCATAGAGAAGGACGCCGAGTCACAGGTGGAGCCTGACGCAGCCGCACAGCTCCACCCAGAGTGGACGGAGGAGGACAAGTACTGTGAGTGGACGACGTGTGTGTGAGTGTGTGAGTGTGTGTGAGTGTGTGTGTGTGGGGGGGGGGGGGCTGCAGTGAAAGATATATATATAAAAGATAGTACAATTTAATACATTTCCCCAGGAGAAGCATTGGAGACAGTAAGGTGTGAAGTATACATTAAATACTCAAACCTGTGCATCAGTGGCGTAGATATTAAAACAAATGTCGTAATGACTTCCAAGATGTCGTCATCAAACAATGACAAAGACATTTAACTGAGGCTTCACATTCAAACTAACTGTGAGTATATTTACTGTAAAATCTAAGATCTAAGATCAATTAGATCCCAAGTAACGTTTCTACAGACGGTACGATGAAGACCTGCAAGAACCACATGTTCTAAATCCAATTAAAAAAGTCAAAAGACACATTTATCACACTTCTTATTCGTGACGCAGCGCTGAAAAAAAAATCCTCATCTTATTTCAATTAACTTTGGTGACATTTTAAATCTTTGTTAGCGGGACAATAGAACGAGGACAGGAAACGAGAGGACAAGAGATGGCAAGCGACAGAATTCTCCCCGATCATCCAATTTCTTAATCCTTCTAATCCTGCTTTTCTAACCGTTGAGAGATTTCCTTCCCAAACATCCTCTTCTGACACCTATTAAATAGAATTAGGGCAGATTAAGTCAGATTATCATTAAGTGAGAGGCTCATTGTGAATGATCCTAAATTATCCTAAATCCCTTTTTTTCCTTCTTCTTGAAAAGAATAGAAAAAACACGTCAAATCTGAGATTCTAAATTTGAGGAACACCAGAGCTGTGGATTTTACATAATTTATCGATTTCAGCCAGATCCTGTTTTCACAGAAAGTTTTGTTTACTTTAACGTGTCGCATACTCACAGTTTCAGTCTGATCTTTTCTGCTTGATCTCGTATAAGAAGACGTCTTTGTGACCTGTGTGTGTTTCCTCCGCAGATCTGTGTGAGCGCATGTGCAGTGTCAAAGTGACGCTGGGTCTGTCAACGGCGGCCGCGGCGCTCCTCTTCCCTCTCATGGTGTGGGGAGGCTACAAACTCCTCCCCTTCGACCCGCCGCTGCTGGGGAGCGCCCCCCTCAGGGTGGTGTACACACTGCGCTGCTCCTTCTTCGCCATCATCCCCATCCTGCTCGGTACGACCCCAGCGTCTGTCGCGTGTTTATTCACAGAGATCAATGTAAATAAAGATGGAGGACGCGGCTTCCGCTTTTTACCACTGTTAAAAAATGAAGCCAAAACCTCTGTGAACTCCACCATCTTGTGCTGGTGATGTCACGTGGGGCCAGAGTCTGTGCAGTAGGAATCTCAGTGTGGAGCTGTCACACACGCTGCCGACCAATCGCAACTCAGTCTCTAACATGGAAGAGGCCGGGGTCTATGACCTGTGCTGCAGCCAGCCACAAGGGGGCGATCCAGATGTTTTTTTCCTGAGTCATCATGTCGTCCATCTTTATTTACAGTCATGAGGTTTATTGCACATTGAAGCAAACACAAGATGATGTAACTGTGTTAACTCTCCGCAGGCGTGCTGGTGCAGGGCGTCGCCCGCCTGCGTCACAGTGAGCTGAAGCCGCTCTTCCAGAGCAAACTGCTGAACAGGGAGGTCGCCGTGCACTGGCACTACGTCAACGAATCACTGGCCCTCTTCCTCTTCTTCTTCCTGCAGCTGGCCGTCATGGCGAGCTACATCAGCCAGGAGCTGGTTAAACTGGTGCCGCTGCTCACCATCATATTTGTTTTTGGCAGGTACGAATGATTAGGGTCCAAATCCGGGAGGAATGGGGGGGGGGGGGGGGGGTTTGCTGGTGAACGTGAAACACTCACCTGCTTCTTTTCTTTCTTTCCCAGACTCATCTACTGGCTCTGCCTCTCTCTGGGCAGCAGCTTCCGAGGCCTCGGCTTCGGCTTCTCCTTCTTCCCCATCCTGGTCATGCTGGGCGTCAACCTCTACTACATCTGCTCGTCAGTCGGGGTGGACTCGGTGTTCGACATAGAGCCGCCCACCACAGCTCCTCCTCCCATGCAGCGCTGGTGGGGTTGAAAGACAACGTCCGAAAGGTGACGAGGTCAAATGCAAACACTTTAAAAATCACGACAAAACACTCGCACAAAAAACCTGGCTTGTTCTTTGAGCATCTTTTTAAAGTTATAATCCTTAAGATTGTAGATTGTGGTCACTGAGGTTTGGTTTCAGACTCAACAGAAGAAGAACCAATAAAGTTAATTTACAGAGCAGCCAAACAAACATGTTTCTACAAAGTCAGTAAATATAAATTCATCAGATCTAAACCATCAGATTTTATCAAAGATATAAAAAACAACCAGTTGTTGGAAACTGTTGATTACATTTCTTTTTGTGGACATGTTTGATAAACATGTTTCCTGTGGCTGCTTCAAAATAAAAGCCTCCCTGCATTTTCCTAGATGAAAGCTTTTAATGTGAAGCAGCAGTTGGAACAGCAGTAACTTAGACGGTGAACATTTGACAGTGTTATCAATAAAAAATGCAAACACAGAGAAAATGTTAAATGTCGACCGGAAATGGAATTTAAAATGCTGTTACTGAAAATCTGGATTATAACTTTTATTATTTGATTTCTCTGTGAACATAGAACTGATCAAAGATCTAAATCAGGCTGGGAGTTAAAGTGAAGCTCAGGTCGAATATAAAAATGCAATAATATTCACATTGTAGATAAAAAATGAAGTTTACGCTGCCTCTTCTCGTGCTGAGCGGTTGATGATCCAGTTTTGAGGCTGAATGGTTTTAGTGTGAGAAACCCAGAGTTTGGATGTGATGCAGAAAAACAGGGAAAATAAACACATTAAAAACTGTCAAATGATCTGGATATGAAAAGTAAATATTACAGGGATTAGATTTTTTTTTTTATGAGGTTGAATTATTTGCATTGTGTTGTTTTATGAATCCTGTTTTCTTTTGTTTTGTTGCTGCAGAACTGGTACTCGTGGCATCTTTCTACTTTATATTTATAACGAAACACGTCTTTGTTTTATTGATCAAATGCTTTAGTAACATAAGTTGCGGAGTTGTTTTTTCGTTAGTCTCTCTTCTTTCTGTTGAAGGATCTTTCTCATTGTAAGAATGAATGTGTATTTAAAGTAAATATCAACAGTAAGCACCTTGAATGAGTAAAATAAAACTTCATCACCAAACATGATGATCAATATTTGATGATTCAGAACCTGATGAAATGTGGTCACGCTCTCTGATGTGGAAAATGTAGTGAATCATATTTTAGTTGAAACAACTTGATGTTGATTCATGAGACAAGTTTCAGCATCATCAACCCGCCTGAGCCATAAAATGCAGCTGGTCCTGAAAGACAACTGCCGAGTCACGGTTTAAGATGTGGAAGAAAGACGGACGCCACAAATATTCAAAATCAAAACAATAAATAAACTGACAGTCTGCAGCAAAGTCACTACATTTGTTTCTCTGAGCTCAGATCCACTGTTTCCCCATCACCCCCGTCCGCTTCTTCGTCATCAGGATTATACAAAAACTGCAGAACAGATTTCCACAAATCTTGGTGTAGGGATGAGATACGACCCCAGAGAGAGAGTCTATACAGTTTCAGACTGGATCCATAGAAAGCAGCAGATCCAAGATTTTTTTTTTCTTCAACATTGTGAGATGTCTTTTGACATTTTCATGGATTTCCCAGAGAATAATTAATGGATCTCAATGACAAAAATGACAAAGTGTGTTATGTGGTGCAGATCCAAATAAAACTCCTTTATTGTCATTGAACAGCTGTACCACCAAATCTAGTGCATCTCCCTGTCTTGGAAGCGATAAGCGCCCTGAGTGTGATCTAGTTTCTGTGTCTTTAACATAGATACAGGGAGTTCTGAGGGTTCAGTCAAATCTGGTCGTTTCATCATCACTGAATGGAGAATTTCAGATTCATTTAGAATTTGTTACGGTTCTTGATCAGAGATGTTTTTTTAGTCACTTTCATGTCAGAGAAGAAAACAAACCACAGATTCATGTTCATTTCACTCAATTTGTCTATTTAATATATAAAATACGGTAAAACATACGCAAAAAGGATAAGGTTTCAAGGGACTTGGATACTTTGGTACAACAAACACTTTTTGTAAAAGCGGTATAGAATTTCAATTACATATCAGTGCATACTTTGTATATGAAAATATACACAAACTGTATATCATTCTCAAAAAACAACAAAAAGAAATATTTTCTTTACAACAAAAACCCAAAGCAGACTAGCTCAACACAATATATTAGCTATAAATTTCATCTTTAGTATTTCATATGCTACATTATTCTGAGTCCTTTGAAAACTCATTTGTGATGCATGTCCTTTATCTTTACTGTACGTAACATAACTGTAGATGTTACCTGTGTCCCATGCATTTACATGTTTCAAATTTCATGAATTACTAATTTCAGTTGTTTTCTCGTTTTTTTTTCTTTATAAATATATTCTATATCTTAATTAAAACTGCAGCATTTAACTGGTATTTCCTTCCTTCATTGCATTTGCTAATACCACAATAACTGATCGTGCAATTTTCAGCAAGTTGTTTCAAAAAAGGAAACCAGTACTATATGTTTATGATAAGAAAGGTAAACGTAATAGAGAGAAAATAAAAACAGTTTGGCTATCCTACACAAAATAGCAATAAAATAAAAGCTCCATAATAATATCATTATAATAATAATAGACAATGGAACTGTCACCAGCACAAATTAATCCAAAAATAGTGAGATTCTAAAAAACATTGTACACAACAAGTAACAGGGTGCAGGTTTTCATATCTCATATAGATTGTCTCGTGACTGCTAGATCTGACAGAACCTTATTGTACATGAGCGAACCTGCGAGCGGCAGGAAGATAAGAGCCAATGAGTGTGGTGTCACATTTCAGTCAACCAAAGAGTTTCCATGGAAATTAACTGATTTAAAATGGAAATGACGGCATAGTAGCAGAGGAGATCATTGCCTGTGTGAGGGCCGGTGCCGCTCATCAATCCAATCTTTCAAGTTTATGAGTAGTTTGACTCTTTGGGGAAACAGAGTTCACTTTATTGCCGAGAGTTTGACGAGAAGATTGTTACTCATCCCTCATGTCGTCAGGAAAAACTCCTGTTGTTCCAAACTGTGAGAATTCACTCATTACAACCACGTCATTTAAATAGCTTGAATTAGCTCCTGTTGTGAGTTCATGTTTTTAAAAAAAAAAGATGTATAGCACCTTTTAAAATGAGCTGAATTGATTGGATGAGAGTTCATGTTGGATTAACTTTCAATGAAACGTTTGAGCAACATTAGCTGTAGTTTTAACCCAGAGGAAAATATCATCACTGACAGAAATGATACGTGCGTTTCCATCCACGTTAAAATAAACTTTCTCAGTTCTGCTCCACTCCTGTAATGGCTGGACATTAGTTTTGATTGTTGTGGATTAACCGTAAACCAGCAATAAAAAGGAATTTACCAAAACTCAACTGGACAGACGACCAATGTTTAGCTCAGTACGTTGATGACCGTAAAACTATTTTATGAGAAACTGTCACTGCCACTGTGGTAGAGTTCAGTCCCATAACACAACGCAGCAGAATAAGAAGAAAGACTTATCTTCAATATAAAAGTAAGAACAAGCTTCATCACACACAAGTGAGTGATTTCTCTTTCTGATTAAGAAACTCTCAGGTCTCTTAAAAGTTCTCCCTCCTTCAGCTTTTCATCTTAGAGCAATAAAAGACTCCAGAGAGTTTTTTTATTTTTACAAGAATCTAGTTTTAATTGAGGATTTATAGAAAACATCATAATTATAAGACATACGTGAAACAAACTGTTTCTGTATCTTAACGCACCCAAGTCCTTATATTTGCATAATGAAGGATACGTGGATGGAAATGCACTTCAGCTCAGATCTCCTGTTACTATTTATTGTAAATTTGGATGGACACTTGGCTTTAGACTCAGATTTCCGACCCGATTGCTGGTGATTACTTTCTAAGCGATAAAACATGAATGCAGCATTAGACGTCAGCTTCAGAGGTGCTGATAGGTGGGTTTGTCACCGGTCTCCTGCTGATATAACCGGCTGCTGCAGCTTCAGATTTGCAGCACACAAATGAGCACTTCTCAGCTTCTCATCAAAATCTGGGAATAAAGTGAGTTCCCCGAAAGTTCCCTTAACAATTTAAACATTAAAAACTCTCCAACATGAGGTTTTAGTTTTTTGAAAGAGTTGGTTAAATTGTTTTCCAGTGCTGACTGACAGAAGAAAAACACTAATGACCTGAAATTAGCAGAGAAAACTGCTGAACACCATGCTGTCGAATGAAGGACGGAGAAATAAGCTGATCATGGAAAACATCGACAGGACTGGCATTAGACGCCGGTTCGCCCTCGTGAAAAGGTCACACACATCACGGTGATATCCTCCACTAACCCACAGCGTCGCACTCTGCACCGCGGGCTCGGACTAATCGCAGCATCATTTCACCCACACAGATTTGAAAGTGTAGCATTGCTTAAGTATATAATCAACAGTCAACAAACACCAGCTGACGCAACAGTCTGCGCCGAGAACGTCAACTCGAGGGGAGAGAGACTTCCCGTTTCTACGTATAAACATCCTGTGAAAACACACACACACACACACACACACACACACACACACACACACACACACACACACACACACAAAATGGTTCAGACAAAACTAATTTGTACTATAAAATATACAAGTGAACAACAAACACAGCACTTATTAGCCAATTTCTTGACTTAACTTCAAAGTGAAAAAAGGCAAAAATCTGTGTCTGGTTAATGTGGAAAAGATTAAAAGTGATTCTGTCGAGCAAAGTGTGTGTATTACCTCTTTAAGTACACGATACGTGAATGGCAGTGTCGTAATGATGACTTCATGTTAAGGTGGGTACTTTTACTTTTGGTGGGTTTTTAAAAAAGGGGGGGGCGGGGGTGGCGGGAGAATATGATGACACCACAACCAAGCAGGCTTCTGTGAGTGAGAGACAGAAAGTGCACACACCATCAACACTAGCATAAAACAGGTTTACTGAAACAGGTCTGATCCACCAGCACTAGCTAGTGTGGCGTGACCCCTGCACCGTAGCTCAAAACATATCAAAGTCACACTCGAATATGCAAACAGATCCACTGAGAATCAACACATTGCTTGTTTTTAGGGATACCTAGCAAAGTCTATGCAAATATATTCATATGTACATACACGTCGTTGAAGCTGAAAAGCTATTGTACTTTGTCGCCAACTGAAGCGGTAGAAATATAGAAAATGTCTTTTTCCTTTCACTTTTTGAAACACAGCAAAGAGCTAAGGAGAGCTATAGAGAGCTAAAGAGGACATCAAAGCTTTTGTATAAGGAGTGATTTTTATACAAAGTCAGAATTCCTACTTCTGGACGACTAACAGACCTTCAAAACAGATTTTTTTTTTTAAATACCAACAGATAAAGAACACTTGGACTGAAAGAACCAAATACTTCCCTACCTCGAAAAAAGCCACCAGAGGCTCAGAAAACTTGTACTATGCTTTTAACTGGATGGCGTCTACTCCTGGTAATAAGCTGAGTGAGTTACTGTGGCTGGATTTGTGGTGCAACAATTTCCATCTGAGCTCCGGAGGAGATGAGCGAGAGGACGGGAGGAGCGCTCAGTCCGAGGAGAGAGTGACGACAAATTCAAAGCTTGAAAAGCATCAACAGTTTCTAGTTCTCGCCGGTTTTTGTGAGAGATCACTCGTCAGTGTCCCCGCACTGCGTGCATGAGGCTTTTGGCATTTTTTTCTTATTCCTAAAGAGAGGTTGATATTGGCACTCTGGCAAGGTGCTCAGCTCCACAGCAGCAGAGTGCCACTTGAGTGCTCGGGCTCGCCTGGGTAAAGCCTAGAGACCCTGTTTGAGTCTGTTTAGTGTCACACAGATGTCGTCAAAGGTGTCCGCATTAAGCTCCTTCCAATAGTGCAGTTTGCAAGTGACTTACGGAAGAATGGACAGCACACAATCCCAACGGATTTCAAAGAAGCAGGAAGTGGCGAGTCATATAGCAGAAGTCCTATCGCGTTGACAAGCCACAGATCATATTGAGAACAATGCAGCAGATCTCAATGTAAATACATGAAGGTGAGGCAGAAAGCGAGTGAAAGAGGAATATTTTTACGGTTGAGTCAGATTGAAAGGCTAAGTGCCTTGTTACTAACAAAAAGAAGTTACTATAAGGGAGTCCATTCAAGCAAGAAGGCTTTAAAATCTACTGTCCCTCTATTCAAGGGGTCTAAATATCCAGCAGAGCACTAAACCATCCTTCCCTCACTCAGAGCGAGAGCCCCAAAGGATTTTTATTTTATTTTTTAAACTTTTTTTTTCTTATTTTGGCAAAGCCTCTTAAGTCTGGGTGACGCAGCTGAGTCGTGTAATTCTGGAAAGAGGCAGATGCATGATGATAGTGTCACATGGCAGTGTGGGTTGGGGCAGTGGGGGTGTAAGGATGAGTGGATGTGTGTGTTGTGAGTGTTTAAGTGTCACCATAACTTCACGGGGGGGGGGGTGCTGAGAAACCGTGTCGGTGCATCTATGTGACCCAGGTGTCCATTCTCATGCGCTTCACGTTTCCTCCCTCCTGCTCCGGTTCGTTCGACACCCTGAGGAGATCAGCCGAGGAGCTGAAGTCAGGCGGCAAGGACCGGTTTGCGGAACCCGTAGAGCCAGACGCGCTGCCGCCGCCTCCGCCTGCACCTCCAGTGCCGCTGCCGCCAGCTGTACCGGTGTCGTCGCGATCGCTGCCTTCAAAGGAGCTGGCGTTGCTGCTTACGCTGTTCGCAGGCGAGCGGCCGGTCGGAGGCTCCAGGCACAACAGGGAGCCAGGGTACTGCGGCGGTGCGGTCAGGATGGCTCCGCCTGAAGTCGAGGACGGTGTGGTGGAGGAAGGATGAGAGCAAGGGGTGCTGTGATCACGGCCAGGCGAGACAGGCTCCGACTTGATGCTCACGCTGGAGTTTGTGTTGACGGTCAGCATGGCGCCTTGAGGTATATGGGTCACCGGCCTGAGAACAAGATCACGGAGGACAGAGAGGGGAAGCAAATGGAAGATACAGGAAAGAGCAAAGAGGAAAGGTGAGGACAAAAAACACAAATGATTAACGACTTGACAAAGTTGTATAAGAAGCTGGAAAGCGACTTGCATCAAGACAAAAACCCACATTACAAGGCACAGCACCGACAGGGAAAAGCCACACTCAATTATTCAACAGCCCAATCAGTTCTGAGCCTTTTCAAAGCAGAAGTAAACACCCCCACTGCTCCCAACAGATCAACAGAACAGCCCAGGAAGCATGAAATGATTCGTGTGACAGGGTGATTCGCCGTGAGTCAGCCATGATGTGAAGAAACTACAAATGATAAACAGAAAATAATCTCGGGTTAGAGAAAATGGCAGAAACCGGAACTAGGTCTCTTTCCTGTTTGACTGCAGACAGCACCACACATGCTTAGGGAAAGGGGGGGCAGCCAAAAGCGCACAGACACACAGGAAAAAGGAAGTGTGATACAGTACCGGCCCAACCACTCATCTCTACCCAAGAGCAGGTTGGACGGAGAGCCAACACTGTGAGGAGAAAAAATGTTGGAACCCAAATCAAAAGGGAAGAGGTGGATTAGAAGGCATGTGTGGAGAAAAGAGTGAAACATTATTGTGTGCAAAGGTTTCGTCAACAACAGCAATAATGTTACTTATGATTGAGTATCAGAAACACAAAGAAACTGATCTGCTGGACTCTGGTTCAGGATTTATTAGAAATCCAGACGTGAAAATGCTTTTTTCTGATCTACAGACACTAGAATAAACTCATCAATCAGGACAGTGACGATCTTTCTAATTTTGTCTATGTAAATAAGGATAAAACTGTGCACATGCAAAAACGTCAACAACTAGGACAAACTTTTTCCAGCAGATACTGAATCTTTCCCCTCAAGACAGAAATACATTAAAGACCAAGAATAAAAAACAAGGAGATCATACGAATGATGTAGTTTGCATTTTGATATTTTCACAGTTTCTAATTTTGGAGTGCATTACTCTTGGTTTGTGCTGATTTAAGCATTTGCAGCATTTCATGATTTTGAGCACTGGGCTTTTCTTCTTGCATGTGTTTGGTCCTTAGAGGCCACTGTATTTGTGCATGTTGCAGGTGTTGCAGCATGAAAAGGGAGGGAAGAAAATGGTTTGATATCTAATAACAGGGGAAATAAAATTATTTGACTACACAAAAATACATTAAGAACTGCAATATTCTTATAACGTATACGTAACCACTGCTAAATATGTTTACTGCATTAATGTTCTGCTCTGGATTATCAGAATACACTGTAGTGGTGACTAATGGACAGTTTCTATTTTTTTAATTTTACTTTACTAAGTGACTATGTGGTGGCCACATTTATAAAGATGGAGAGAACTGATCTTAACCTAGATTGTGCATTGTCTTTTATTTTAGTGAGAATATCCTTTAAAATTATAACAATAAGATAACATTAAACTAAATTTCACAACTAAAATAAAATAAGTTAAAAAATTGATTTCTATCAAAAGCTCTAACTGAAATTCTCCTGGCCCAAGTTAATAAAATAAATGTAGCTTACAGACAAGGTCATGACATTTCACATACGAACACACTATTAGTGGCTGTTCACCTCAGATTGGCAGCCAGACTGGACACCTGGCTACACAGCTCGCTGCTCTGTTTGTCCACGCCCCACATGCTGTGGACAAGAGGAGAGAACACACTTCAAGGATCTGGTGTTCACGCCACTGAAACCCAAATGGAAACCAGCAGCGCTTCGTCACGCTGGCGCTGCACTAAACAATATTCTCAACGGCCGAGTACAAACTGCAGTTATTTATTCAGCTCTGACTGGGAAAAAAAAGTTTGAACAGGGCCTTAATAGGAGCAAGGAGTTCAAACATCCAAACTGTCTAAACCTTTATGAAGTTCACTGAATTTAAAGAAATAGTGTCCATGCATAAACCGTGTATAATATGAATGTTGGGACTAGTTAACCATAAAAATATAACCTGTTTATTTATCTGTTTGTATTGCTCTGCTTAATTCTCTCTCTCTCCTCCAAACACTGCACTTCACTTCACCCTGCTGAAGACCATCAACTCCAGAAAAACTGTATCGTGTTCAGATTGATGTTATGGAGACGCTGAGATGGTGAGATGCTGGTGAAGAGACCAATTCACTAGAGAGAGGGTTGTGAATTGTTTGCATATCAGGTCATGGTATGGAGAGCATGCACGCTGCCTGGGGGGGTCAGTAGTAAAGTATATCAGCGTTAAGAGGAAAAAGACCGAGAGCTGTTTTAATCTCCATCCCGCCACCAACATCATCCCCGGCACTGGACGAGAGCGATGGCAGAACTTTTCAAAAACCAGGTTTGAAGTTGCAGGGATGAGAAATTAAAGAAAGGACTTACACCAAGTTGCTGAGTGATGCAAGATTAAGTTGCTGCTGTTGCTGTGTTTGCTGTTGCTGCTGCTGTTGCTGTGGTTGCTGGGAAATAGCCTGCTGCTGTTGCCATGTGGAGACACTAGTCGGCAACAAGCCACCAGGTGACGCCAGAGCATGTAAAGCAGTGATATCCGCGCTGGTCAGCTGGTACTCTGTGAGCATGAAGGACAAAAGAACCAAGATAACGAAACTCTTGATTTCTCATTTAGTTAAAAGCGCATGTTCACTCCCTGAGCTCGTACAGGATGTTTAGCTCACCTGTGTTGTACGCTGTGGGCATGGCGGAGAAGGGCAGCCCCTGTGCCAGGAGGCTCGGTGTGGCTACAGAGACCACCGGCGTGGTGAGGGTTTGTGCCACCTGGGCTCCGGCCGCCAGCCGCTGGGCGTTCTGTCAGAGGGGGCAATGACATGTTAGACCCCGCAGAAGCTTAAGCACCAACTTCTACATGCTAACAAATGCTAAAGCTAAGACTTCAAAGATTTGAATTCCGACATGCTGGGAATGACAATGAGCTTATGGCTGGATTCATAATGATGTACCAAGTCAAGTAAATCTCAGACGCAAATGGATTTACTATCAGGAGGTTTGTGATGATATGCATCAAAAACTGTTTGTTTTGAGCCATAAACGCTGTGGAGATTTTACATTAAAGGCAATTCACTTATCTATTTGGGTAGGTTCATTTTTCAAAAGTTGCATCCTTTTCAAATTAAGTCTTTGAGTTAAGTTTACAAGCTTTAAATTATGTTAAAAGTCCCTAAAGACTGTACCGTTAGGCCATTTCCATCATCTTAATATCTATTATTTATAATCATTTTTAATCTTTTCATCCACGTAGTCCTTTTAAAGATATTTTCTGGGCATTATAGTCTTTATTTGATGGAACAGGATTGAGTGTGAAAGTGGGAGAGCACAACCAGGTGAGATATTGGTAACCCTAAATTTCAAGTCCACAATTACCTTCAGAAATAAGTGAAATTAAATATCCAAGGTGAAATATCAGAAACACAAAGACACATCTATTGAGCCCTTTTACTAAACATTAGCTGCAGAACCTTGGCAGCCTCTTTTAGTTGGAATACTAGTATTACTAGTATAAATCTAATATACTGTACACTACAAACTTTATTTTTTACACTACTTTCCTGAGATTGACAAAATTTCACTCTAAACTCTCAATATACTGAGGTAAATAGTAATTCTCCGGTTATTCAAGCAGTTTAAAACAAGCTGGAAGTGACTTGTTTGCTTTTTTGCAGTTGCAGGATCTAGTTTAACTGTGCAGCTAATCTCATGTTTCTCCAGTGGATGTCACTAAAGGCTTTACAGTATCCTGCCTGGCTGCTCTCCACAACGGCTACGTTTTTATGTCTCAATCCCTCATTCTAAGAGAAGGCTAACGGGGGTCAAAGCTGCTGCCTGCTCAGTGTTTGTACATTAAGTCGGACATTTAGATGACAAAATATTCAGTGATTCTCCTAAACAGCAGCAGCAGACACGCCGCTAGATCTGAGCAACTGTTACTGTGAGGTTTTATTATGATGTACCGCTGCTGAAAGACACTAATCTCTGAAGAAACACAATACACCAGAGCCTGCTTCAGCTGAGTTATATCACAGATAAAAGCAAAATTAGGTTCTTTGTAAGAGGGGAAAAAACAAAAGGTCTGCATAGAAAAGGCCAAAAATGCAATAATTCTGCTCTGGAATTACTCATATATTGTGAGACTGATCATCCTGAGAGGAAACATTTGGCCAGAGTTATGAGTGTTACGCTGCCGAGAGAGAGAAGAGGAGGAGGGGACGTTAGACTGGAGAGAAGGGCCAGATTCAATTAACTGCCTTTGTGAAGAAGTGAGGGAGGACGGCTGGGGGAGTGTGATGAAAATGAATCACTATCCTGTGGAAAATTAGATTCTTACCTGACAACTTTGAGTGGAATTGTACGAGAAATGACAATCATGCAGGCACCAGCAGCAGAAATCAGCAACCACCATCTACCATCTCTCTCTCTCTGAGTAAATTCATCTTACATGAAAATGAGATTTTACCGGATACTCACTCACTAAGTTGTTTTCTTTTTTTTTATTCTGATTCAATTTGTAATATTTTCATTGTGAATAAGAATATTTTGCAGTACAACGAATGCTATTTTATAAAAAGCATCAAAAAGCACCAAATCCCCACATTTGAGAAGCTGAACATGTTTGCTTTAAAAAATTACTTAAAAAATGAATAACTTGGTTTCAAATTAAAATGCAACCAAATATCGGGGGGGCACACAGAGCTAAAATATCAAACATTTAGTTAAATGCCATTTTAAGTTTTTTTTTGCGAAAGCGTTGAAGCTAAATATGTAAAATGCAACTTCAGCAGAAGATTGAGTTAAATGCCTTTAATGTAATTCCAGTTAGTTTTTAAAAATGTCTCTAAGTGACAGTTTGGGTGATAGTGAGAATGAGAGTTGGTGTGAGTGTCAGTGAACAGGGGAACATGCTCTGTGGCACTCAGCTCCACGATGCTAAGTGAAAAGACACTCATGCTTTCAGTGGTATCATCAGATGAAGTAAATGAGCCTTGTTGAAAACGTATAAACACTCAAGGACAATTCTCAAGGTCTGTATGACATAAACCTTTCTAGGTTTTCTCTGAGAAGATCACGATCCCAACTCTACAAAACAAAACAACGATGAGCCCTGAACGACATGCAGTCAGGTGGGAACCACAAACTGAAGACTACCTCAAGAAATGTCAGTGGAGCAAGACCAAAAACAATGACAAGCTCTTGTACAGTATCGTAACCATGCTAAAAATGTGTGGACAGTCGATAATCATCGATTCATGCGAGTGACTGACATTGGGAGAAATCACCTCGTTTACCAATTCCAGCTCATCTTCTGTCTGCAAAGGGTGGTAACAGACAGGGTTACAATCATTTGATCCATTGTAAGAATAAAAATATTGATTCAGTCTGATAATAATAGTTTGGGGAAGACTGTGTGTATCATTAAAACCTCCATTGATGCTGTTCAGGCAAATACTGTTTCCAAGTTAAAAATGAACTTTAAATCTCTGAAAAAAAGTTTTCATGATCTACAACTGTTGGGTGTTATCACACAGTCAAACAGTGGCTATGATTAAAAATGAGTGTGTTTAGTCAAAGGCTTCCGAAAATACTCAGTTATGAGAAAACTCATCGGTATGTCAGTGGAACTGATGATTCATCCAAGACTTTACAAACTTTGCCAGAGTCAATAATGAGATGTTGGACCCCGCGTATGCAGCACAGATCTTAAATGTGAAAAACACATTTAACACAATGTGTTCAATCTAATTCTTGATTTTTCAGTTCATGTTCAGTTTTGGGTAATTTTCTATCTCAATCATTTTTCTTGCATTTTGCTTTTCTGAGACAAAATAGAAATTTCTAAGTCCGATCTAATCTTCAAGGTTTCCGGTTCAGGTTGTCTTTCACTTTGTTATCTTTAGTTTAACAATGTCACCCAACTAAGCTTTTTAACAGAGGTGAGAACCTTAAATCCTATAAAAAGTGTCATCATTTCCAGGATTAAATGTTGACTGAAAGGACCCAGACAGAAACAAGTTCAGTTTGGTTAAGCTCACCATCTGCATGAGGCTCTTTCCGCCCTGTGAGGTGATGACTCGGAGGTCTGGCTTGCGGCTGTTGACCATCTGGGGGCTGGGAGGTGGGGGTGGAGACTTGGCTGGAACTACTTTCCCCAGACTGTTGCCGTTGGAAACGGTGAGGAGGCCTGGGGAGGCCCTGGCACTGGTGTATCCATTAGCTGCGGGAGAAATAGAGGTGTGAATGGACAGGAATCGTTAGAAAAATCAAACAGGTGAATGCAGACAGCGGGGGACTCGTGCTGTGTGCACTCAAATTATTGTTTAATAAAAATCTATTCCGAGAGGCTCTTAAATGAAAAGGTACGTCAATCTGGACTGAATCAGTGTTTGAGAAGCCAACAGAAAGCAAAATTCACATCTAATGACACCTAACTAGCTGATGTTCAAACCTCTTTGTGTTAGAGAAGTTTGATTTATATTAATCCTTTTAAAATGATACAATCTCTTTTTTGAAATATCTACATTTCTGCAAAAAATAACTATAATATTGAAGCAATAAGACAATTAATGTTCAAACATGTTAAAACAAAGAATTCCTATTGAAACAAAAATTATTTGCACGTGGCAAAATGTTAAACATATAAAGCACTGGAAATACTACTTATTGTATCACCTGAATCCTCCACAGCACAATAAGATATGGTGCAGAGGAGGAACCTTGGAGAGGATTTAGGATGAAGACAAACTAAACGAAAGAATAAAACCTGCTCAGGTTCTGAAGAAATAAAATTGTACTCACGGACTGGACTTGGGCATCCTCCATTTGAATTATTTAGGTCACCTCCAAGAAGAGCACCTACAGGTGAAAGATTAAATTAAAAGAAAGGATTATCTTTATTGTAGCCATCACAAATCAGTGGTCAATAACTAAGAGGATATTTTTCTGAAATATAGTGTAGACACAGTATTTCTATTATTTGTAGTAAAATCAAAAAATAAAGAAGCAATGAAGTTTTGAAGGAAACTGTAGTGGTATAAAACTAACACGTAGCTCTGGTGAGTAAAGTTTATGACGTAATCAAAAGCTCAGATGTCAATGGAAATCCCCAAATATAGAAGAGTGCGTGTGTGTGTGTGTAAAATGTTCACAGAAAAAGACCAGACAAATATAGACTTAACAAGTTTAAATATTTCATTTTTGGAACGTTCTACTCATTCTATTCAACTTTTAATAATTTTATTTCACTGGGTATAGTGTTCATCTTTGAATCTCGAATTCTCCAGAAAAATATTCACTCAGGTAATTAGAAGACTTAAGCCGTTTTCCGACATGACCTGCGGGTAAAATCCTGAGAATTACGCGCAGTCTGCCTTTCACACGTGCACAACACAGCGGGAGGTTCCCTGCACAGATGCGTTCACAACAGCAACAAATCCTCTGCATTTTTAAAGCGAGAGATGGATCAGCAGACATCGGCAGGAAGCGACATATTAACTCTGGTGCTACTAGTTTGTATGATGCAGCTATGCACTCATAATCAAAACATAAGAAGGAACATTATGAAGTGCTTGTAGTTGTACCAAATGTCAACCACAGTACAACAGTCGAGAGTAAAAGAATGTACGCTACTCCCTGAGGAATTAAGCAGCTCATTACATGTAAAGATAAGGGGCTGGATAAGGGGCTGGGCTCTACTGTAGGTCTGTGGTTACCTAACAACAGCGAATAACAACTGGCAATAATGGTTACAATCATAACAAAGTTATTGTTGAGGAAGTAAACATGAGGAGGATTTAAGTTCAGATAGTGTACAAGAAGAAAAATGACTGAACTAAAGGGGGAAACTTTACCTACAATAATTTCTTCTATGCAATTTCTCTCAAAACGACATGAATCTTGCCGCACTCAGCAGAACCACTCACTCACCTGCACTCGCTGGTCGCTGTGGCAACCCAGGAGACACCGTGTTTCTCTGAAGAGCTGGTTGCTGTGGTGACAGGAGGTGGGTATCCGTGAGAGACGATGATGTTACATAGGAGGTAGTTACCAGTGCGTTGCCAGGGTTACTGAATTGCAGTGTGCTTTGACTGGATGCCTGGACTGTGACTGGCATGGAGAAGGTCTGGGGCGGAGCCGTCGACTGCTACAGAATGGAAAGAGAGAATTTAACTTTCAGTCTAAACCGTGTGAAAACTCACCGCTACGTTTCTTCAACATCAACGTTTCTACCTCTAAACCTGTGTTAACTCATGTTCTTGTCCACTTGGTGGCAGTGCAAATAAGCATGGACAGATCAGTTGATATGGTGAACTCTGCAAACAGTTGCTTGTTTAGAAATTACTCAGCGAAACTTTCATTTCACTTTGAGACGTGTCCATCGTGACGTGACCGTCTACACCAAGTCTTTAGGGAAATCTCTGGCTCTTCGGCTGTCAAATGCTCCTTGTTCACCAGCTAGTCTTTGAACGTGTCTGTCGGCCATTTGGTGCAGAAAGACTCGTGTGCAGAAGATTTTAGAGCTCTCTTGCTGTAAACTTTGCAGTGAGAGCGACAACAATGAACAGAACACTGCATTTGTGGACGGACCTGTGAGCAGAAATGCTCATTTTAAGGTTTTGTAAAGCTTCAGGGAGCAGCAGATTCAGGAGCCATCTCTGAAAGTTCATCCCCACAAGCTAAACCTTTCACAATGTCAAGTTTGGCTAATGTATTTTAATTTTGATGGACTTGTATTAAAACTCACATTAATCTAAACATGGCTTTTGCATTAAAATTTTGATATAAACACTTAACATGAACATTTTGATAAGGATCTCTTGAATTTGGTTAGAAAAGAAATATAGATCAGCATACATTTGAAATAAGAACTTGTTAGTTTTCTCTGGTAGACTACTTAAACTAAAACCAAGTTTCTGGCCTGTTGCAAAGGACTTTAACAAAATGTGTGAAAAAAGAGAGGAACTTCACATCAGAAGTTGTTTCCTGTAGGCCACACAAAACAAACAGAGAATAATAACAGAAAATGTTGACCGAGAGTCTACAATTAAGAAAAGCAGAATAGTAATTACCGAGATAGTCTGGGTTTCAGTGTTCAGACGGCATTAAACTCAACTGGTTTTCTCTTATCTGTGATACTGCCCATTTTGTTCAACTGCAAAAATACCAATTCAATGGAGCAGACTCACGTCAGAGAATAGTTGACTCTTATCACATGAGGGGAGAGTTGACCGACAACGCTGAGGGTTTGAAGTCGAAGCGAAAAGCAAAATTGCCAAGAGGGAACCTGATGACATCAACTAGACAATCTGCAAAATTTGTCTTCTAAACTGCACACACTCTGTGAAGTACACCACAAGTACACACTGCTGACTGCAGTGAAATCTAACACCTCACAGATACTGGGGTGGCACCCGGCTTTTCTTGTAAAATGTCCGGTAAAATCTGTAACACCGGTGTTACCACGAGTTTCTCTACATCATTTCATCCCTAACGCTCTGTATGAAGGATGTGAGCATGAAGTGTCGCATGCAAGTGAGCGTCTTACTCCGTAGCGTTTGAAGAGAACATCCAGGTCTTCTGTGGTTTTACGGTACTTGTCATCATTTAAGGGACTTTGGTCGATGGAGTCTTCACCGTCTGGCTCTGGACTGTCACAACCATTGAAGCCTTTCTTTCTCAAAGTCTGTGAAAGTGTAGAAGAAAGGCAATGTGTGTCACGCAAGGAATTTATTTTTCATAATAGGCACATTATTGAAAGGACAATATTTTTACTGTTAGTCGACATTTATTTCTCAATGTTCAAAATGATTCTGTTAACCAGGGAGAAAATTAGTTGTCAATATTTGAAGGGTCCAAAGATTTATTGTAGTTTAAGTTTCAGACTCTGAAAGTATTTCGATAAATATAAATAAGTACTGAAGCGATGGATTTACCTCAATGATATCTGCATTAGTCCGGCTCTCGTGAGGCTCATTGTACTCTGTGTATTTGAGTAAGACCTTGTCCATGTCAGTGCTGGCGTACTGGAACAGCTTGTTAGCATGGTTGAAGATGATCAGGGCAATCTCACAGTCACACAATACACTCAGCTCGTAGGCTTTCTTCATCAAGCCAAACTTTCGCTTTGTGAATGTCACCTGAGGGAAAACAGTGGAGAAAGATGAAGAGGAGGAGACAGGGCAGAAGGTAGGGGAAAAAGAATGAGTTTTGGATAAGTGGACTTAAATGATTTCAGGCTAAATATGTTGTGCTTAGCAGTAAAAAAAAAAAAAAATCAGGTAAAAAGATTGATGATTTAATTTCTGTATTGAGCTTTCTCTAGTCATATTCTAGTCTCTCATATTTTGTTTCAGATTTTTCCTTCGCGTAGCTCTCGTGTTATTCACACATGAAATAGGGTTATGGTTAAAAATCAAAATGAAATGGAAAATTCAAGAGAAGAAAGAGCTGATGACCTAGAAATTATCTTTATTACCATTACTGGCACACAAACAGTTTGATGTTTTTGTGTTGTCAGAGATTCAAAGATTGAAACACACTGGACTCAGAGTTTTCAGCATTAATAAAAAAGTATCCTTATTAGTCAGAACTATTCGAACAACAGTGAAAAAAATCACAATCAGACTTCAGCTTTTTATAAATAAGAAATCACTGATCGATTTTCATGATTCTCAAAAAAAAAAAAAGTTTTCTAGCCATTAGACACACCATCAACCAAATAATACTGTAAACTGGACTGGTATTAAAACTTGTAAAAACATTTCTTGGTGTCCATTAGAACAACAATACCAGGGAAAAGAAACCTAAAACTGCAAAATGAACACGCAAACAAAGTATCTTGGCCAAGGGGAGAAAAAGAAGAAGTAGACAAAGCTGCTGAGTTCACAGCTTACAGTCTATCTAAAATAAATTACTGAAGCTTTTAGAAAATCTGGGCTGTGCAGCAGAAGAACTGAAAAAAGCCACTTGTGGAACAAATTGACACATGACAGTGTGCTGGAAAAAAAACATGGAGGACTGAGAACATGAGGCAACGTGTGATGAAACTGAACTTTTTATAAGTGGCACAAAGCAAACTAGTTGGCAGAAGTCAGACTCATCTAATCACCCGTCCAACATCCTCCCTGCTGTGAAATTTAGAGAAGAAGTTGCAGTGATGAGACAGGAAGCAACAAATGAGACTGACAAAGGCAAATTCTCGAGGACAGCCTGTGTTACAGTACTTGAGACATTTCGCTGCAGGAAATGTGGATTTCTGAATGGGACAATGAAACATGCACAAATAAACAACAGAGGAGCTTCAGAAAAAGTAAACTGTGCAAGACCGGAACAGAACTTTTCGACTCCAGTCTGTAGCTAGTTTTAGACATGAACTCCAGAAAATTGTGTCTGAGACATTTTTCATATGAAAAACACAGGAAGGGATTGTTGGGGTGCTGGGTTTTTAGGTGAGGGTCGGCATTTGGATCAAGCATACAGGAGGCAGAATGTGATTTATGAATTCTGCTGCAGAAATCAAGCATTTTTGTTTATAGCACATCAACACATCTGCCCTTATCGCTAGAAGCTCTCAAATCTTGTCGTCTTTCCAAGTTAACATCTTCCACGTTCTCCATATGAACATTTTTCAGCCTGAGATATTTTTTTCAGTTTTGGGTCTGTCACGTGTTAAAAGACGTCATCAACACGCTCACTTGCTCACAGTGTGAGTTTATGAATCTGACATTTGCTGTCAACTTTAAGTATTTTAAAGTTGTTTTGAATCCTCAGTGCTACAGACATAAAGAGAAAAGGAAACGAGAGATAAATAAAGACTCACCTGCTTGTTCCTTTCATCTGTGATCCGTTGGATCTGAATCTTTTTCCTACCCATGATGCTTTGCAGTTGTGGAGACAAATGTCGCAGTCAGTCAAGTAGAGAAGTGCCTCTCTGAGGCTAAGAGACGAAGTGCAGACCACTACTCTTACTTCAGCCCAAAAACACTTGCACGGTCATTCATCAGAGGGTACGCACACACATGCATTTCTCTGCCCAGGTGTGGTGAGGCAACGTGGTCGACAGCAGTGGGTGAGGAGTGCGGACTGGAGAAATGTGTGAGGGTCGAGGAAGTCCTCAGTTCATCGTTTGTTTGCAGCCACTGTGGCGATGAGGATGACACTGCTCTCCTGCATAAGTGAGAGAGTGAGAGAGAGTGAGAGAGAGAGAGAGAGAGAGAGAGAGAGAGAGAGAGAGAGAGAGAGAGAGAGAGATACAAACGTCAAACAAACAAGAAAATGATAATAAAATGACAAAGTAATCTGTGCTGTTCTGTCAAATGAACCTGAGAACAATGAAGACAACAATACTGAGTGATTATAGGGGCAGGGAGGCACAGATGATTAAGGTTGTTCAAACAATTGCAATGCATAAAAAGTCCAAGGTCAACTGCAGTGTAATTTTGCTGCTTTTTTGTAGAGTCTGTCGGTTGCGCAAATAAGAAATTCTTTCATCAACATATTGGTATCAGCATTTCAGTCTGCCTATAAAACCAGATTCTGATCCTGATATTGGCATCATCCTCAAAACATCCACATCAGCCGGGCTCTAGTCCAATGTCTAAATGTTAGGACATATGTAACATCCTATACATTTCTCACAATGGCTCACAAAATTCCCTGATTTAACCTGTTAAATTAGCTATTCAACAAAACACTTTGAATAACATTTGAAAAACGTTAATCAAACATTTGTCATCTAACATTTTATAGCCAGTTGTCAGGTTAATCAGTGCTTAAAGGAATTTATTGCAGCCCTACATGGAACTAAAACTTAGTTGAGATCAGTCATCGCAATGTGAACAAGAAAACAGTCAGCAGTTTTTGACTCCACAAATGTAATACTTCAGTCCCTTTAGGGCCATTCACTGACAACACTGAAATAATCAATGTTGTTTTCTAAAAGGACAAGGTGAGTGGAGCTCTCCATGAGAAGGATGTCGGGGAATAAAACTCAGTTTGGGCAGCTGAAGACCTTCAAGAGGAATAATGGATCCAATGACACAAGTACAAGTCAGGGCTGCTCCGCAGTGCAAAAGCAAAAATCAAAACATGTTCAAATTAAATTTTATTGATGGCAACAGGATAATTGCCTTTTTTGTGGATGAATTTCAAAAGTTTTAACACAGATGTGGATGTGATCACAGCTCAGGTTGAACATTCCATTGTTTACTTCACTCTCAACCGTCGGAGGCAAATTAATGACTATACCAGCTCCAAGGTTCTTGGCTCTCCATCACCATGTGTGCTCTGAATCACTACCTGGTATTCTTTATATTCACTATATTCTGAATTTCAACTCAATGCTTGTGTGAAGGTCCAAGAGTCAACAACAAGAAACGAAAACAATGAAGAAATGAAGAATGATGAAACCTTGAGAGCTGTCACCACTCACATATTTTTATATATATTTTTTTTATATATATCTTTTATTTTGAGAAAAAGAGAATAGTGATGATGGATCTTTTCCTGCTGAATTGAAGAATCATATACAGTAGCGACAGAAGAAAAGTTGGGTAATGCATCCCAACTTTTCAGAAACTAATGTTTGGTGTTGGTTGGAAACTGAGGGCGTTTTCCTGTAAAGTCAGCCAATCTATAGCTATAGCATGTTTTATCTCTAGCTGCAACTAGACATACAACAATTGGTTTATTATTTGATTAAAAGAAAGACAAGCAAACACTATTTAACATGAAATAGTCTTTAGTCATTTATCAAGAAACAATAATGAAAGAATTTGACTCATTTTTTAAGTTCCAGCTTCTGAAATGGAAGAATTTCTCATATGCATTTAATAAACTGACTTTGGGCTGTGGACTTTAACAACGTTATATATACAGATGAACACTTACTTCTACTAGGCTGCTAAAGTAACACCATCCTCTATGATGTAGTTTTGTGCTAGGCCAAATTGGCGCTTTTGTGCATTAAAACCGTATTCGCAGCAGTGCTGGGCACCTCCCCACATCATTCATTAGCTGTAACAGTTAGGAACCAACTCCAAACGATTATCCAAAAAAGATATATAGAAATATCCAACTGCTAGACGGGGTAATGATTACAGAGAAGCTCCTCCTTATTGGGTCCACTGACTTCGCCACTGTCAGGCTACAATATTATCTTTGATTAGGCTTGAATTAACCAGAATGGGGTTACACTGCAAGGCTTCTGTCTAGCTTCCGTCTCTCTGACTGCCCTCTGTGTGGTTGTCCCCTCGTTACTGTAATTGACACGTTCATCCCTCCTCTTACCCCTTAAGGCGCTGATGGCTCAATTAGGAGCTGGCCAGAGGACTGATTGGACGCCAAGATAATGAGGTCGCCGCTTGGCTTTAACTGAGCCTGCATCCAGCCAAACCAGGCTCACTCTGTGACAAACAGGAGGCAGATAGAGGAAGAAGAAACGAGTTTACAAGTCAATCTAAAGAGCCAATCCAAAGACAATAGATAGAAAACTATAATGGCGGCAATTTAATGACTTTTGGCTGGGACCAGTTTGCCTCATTATCTTTGGGGGTTAGGCATTTGGTCACTCTGGTAAAAAAAATAAATAAATAGAAAAAAACCACACATCAGCTACTCGAATCATCCAAGTGATGGTTATGCAACCCTTGAATATTCTTCTGAAAAAGGAGAGCACAATCAAGCTCAGGGTGGGCATCTGTCTGTTTTAGAGTAGCGTAATTAGTGGCAGTGACCTTTAGCGGATTACGCTCTAGCCAATGAAATGGGCCAAAGCCATGAGATAAATAATGGTCAGAGCCTCAAACATGACTTGCAGTGGGGTTTAACCATCCACAGCTCTGAGAGGATGGGGGTTAGGACGGCCTTAATGGCCCAATCACTGCCCCTGAAAGATGGACAGGACTGCTCTCATATCTTCTTGTGACTCTGTATGAGCCCTACACCTCAACCGCAAGGACCATACAGTGAAAGATTGAAAGATTAATAAATATATGTTAGAGACAAGCATTAGTACAATATTAGTAGTGTCATTTAACAATATTTCTTATTATCAGTTAATATGCTCATGATTTTTCTGACCTTCTTTTTTTATCAAGTGTCAAGAAAAAGTGGAAAATATCCTTGATAATTTTCTTTTCCTTTTTTTTTTTTTTTAAACAAGACAGTCAGTCCACAACATAAATACGTTCAGTTTATTCTCACAGATGTTTAAAAAGGAGAAGCAAATCCTCAAGCAGAAATCAATTCTCAAAACATTTTCTGTCTATCACCTAACTGATTTACCAACAATTCTTGTCAGCTCTACCCACCATCCAATTTGAATCATATCACAGTATTTTCTGAACCATATAAAAGTCAGTTTAATGTGGTATGTCTCTACTGGAAAATGAGCTACTGTCAAAACAAGAACTATAACAAAATATTGCTAAGGAAGAAACAACTTACACAATGACTGTAATTAAAAAAGACCTAGCTCAGCTATTTTCAACCTCATCATTTAAATCTGTCAATCTGAATTTATACACTTTCTTCTCTATATGCTAAGAGAGAAAATAGTGGTTTAACATTTTACTCAAGGAAACTTTGAAAAAAAGAAACAGTTGTTGCTGTGATTGAACATCCCCCATTAAATGCTGCTACGGTCTTTGAGTGGAGAGCCTATAAGAGCCTTATTGTTAACAGGTCTGAATGGAAAATGAAAACGATTATCACCGACTCTCTCAAGAGGGCAGTCGGAGGTAATGCTGTTTCCAAGCAAAGACAAATTAAATGAATAAAGTTTCTAGACATGCATAAAATATTTTAGCCAACATAAAATAATGAAACTTGGAACGCTTATATTGTAAATTTGTGCAACTGTCAGTTTCACTCATTTAAAAAATCTAATCTCTTCTAGTCTCTCCTCTCTGGTTTCACTTACCTAAAAAGGAATGGTGTCTTTTGTATTGTTTTTAATGCAATGTGTGTATCGATATATTATGCATCGACAACGTCTCAACAGACATTATGAATTATTTGATTTATTTGTCTAAGCACCAAGACTTTTTATGACCAAGTGGGAAAAGGTGAAAATGTCAAGCTAAATGATGCCAACAACAGAGGAATCAAATGCTGTCTCAAGGTATTGTTGCTGTGGACTTTGAGAAACCCTCAGTATAATTTTGTTCATTCTGGCAACCATTCACAGCCGTGTCAGCTCAAAGTCATACACAGAGGAACTGCAAGCTCCGATAACACCGTTATTTGGGAGGTTTTAATAAAACAGTTTTGTTGATGGGAGGGTTTTAGACAGCTTGCATGCTGATCTGCTGTGAGACCGGCAGAGAAACAGGACTTCTGCATTTCAAACAATAAGGCGTCATTTCAGAAATAGCAGAACCTAGCTTCAAACCTAAAACAAAACCTATTAATTTGTGCAAAATCCAATGCACATGTTACAGATTACAAAGCCATACTGCTGGTACAAAACTGAGAGGGACTGCACTACATCCAGATGTTGACATGAATCCATCTGTAAGGATGGCACACAGTGGTGGATCACTCTGTCAAACTGGCCTACTTCTAAGCCCAGCAGCTTTGCTATCTACCCTGGGATGGCGGGCGTGCACACACACACACACACACACGGCTGCTAATTACTAATGCACAAGCAAGCTAATTTCCACTGGATACGTACAAATCCAGTTTAAATCACAATCATTGGCCTAATTTGAGTCTGACAGAGGCTGCTGGGGTGTATATGTTTAAGAATACTTATGGTAAATACAGCTATGCAAAGGCACTTAAGCTATCGTCTATTTGTGTGTGTCGAACAAAATCTAAGCTTAGTCAATACCAAGATCTCATCAAATCACAACATGCTCCAATACTGATTCTAGCATTGGAAATTACTCGACGTATATTAGTTCCACACAATTTCTTTTCCTGAAAATACCTTTTTCCTCGCTGCTCCAAAACAGCAGTTGCACCATACTGCCACTAGCATGCACTGTTTTTTAGAGCATGTGAAGCAAAGGTAATTTCAGGTAGTGTACCGTTAGCCAGAGCTAGCTAAAATGTCAGTATTTTGGCAATATTTGACGCTGGAAAGTCCCACAGTGTACCATCTGCAAGACTTCAGTTTCGAGGGTGGGGCACACTACCTGAAAAATCTTTCATTTTCATAAACCCTGACTGCATTTTTACAGCTATTAAAAGGAAGTAATTGTCGTGTATTTCTAGATGTTTTCATTTGGGTTTGTAGCATGCTGCTGTTAAAATGCATTATCTAAGTTGTTTATTTGTAAATGCATTGGTATCGAATCAGCCAATATGCAAAGCCTAGGTATCGATATATCTCGGTACTGGGAAGGGGGAAATGGTATCAGAAGATGTCTAGAGTTTTCTACACAATCTGAGCTACTTAAACACCAAAATCCCATCACACACATGCAAACACACTTAAACCAGTGCAAGAGAATATGATTTTCCTTCAGGCTCTTGTTGGAGTGAAGCAGAGAAAAAGCAGAGCAGGGCTCTGAACAATAGCTCCCTCACATGTTACAGTTGCACTCTCCTTAACAGCATTATACAATGTTAGATCTGCTATGTGGTGAAAATGACATTGTTAACAAAGTGGGAGCAGGACTCATAAGGTATTCTGTGCACAATATGACAGATGGGAGTCTGGAGACTGGGGGAGGTGGGGGTGGGGGGGTAGGCCTACTGGCTGCAGACAGTGGGGGGGTGGGGGGGTCTGGTTTACAGGCTGGGGAGGTCGTGTGTCTTCATTTGGGCCAAGAACTCGAGGAGTCCTTGAAGGCACCATGAGCGGGGTTGATGCACAGAGCAGAGGACGAGCTGCTCCACCACACGGGCCATTTCACAATTCTCCACATACGAGTCAGCCATTACCTTCCTCTCTCCATGTAACTCGGCCACACGAGCTGCAGCAACCATTACACTGTTTTAATTTCTCACACACAAACGACCACTGCTCCTCTGCGAGACAGAGAGCAGCCCCCGTGTGGCTTCTTCACTTGACATCTAAGCCGTAGAGCAAGACGACGGTGCGGGGAGAGAAAAGACGCAGGAAGGAAATGTATCACTCCACTTACCCTGAAATATTGCTGATTTAAAAAAAAAAACACACACAACCACGCGTGGATCCTTCCGCTCCGGAGCTGACGTGTATTCACGAAGAAACGCTAAATAGCTGCGCTGAGGCGACGTCTGTGTTTACGTGAATCCTCCCGCATTTTATTCCAATTTTTAACGTGGAAGTAACTCTGCTGTCCACCCGGGCGATAACAGTGAACCCAGTGTACGACCGACGTCATTCACATCACCCCCGTGACGGACGTGCCGCGCGGCCAATCGGGATCTGACATGCGAAGCCGGCGGCCAATCGGAGCGCGGTGCTGCCGAGGGGGGCGGGCCCGCGAGAGAGGACATGACGGAGGTGACGGCCATGTTGTAGCAGTGGTGTTTGTATCCCTCCGCCTCAGTATTTACCTTTTGCATGATTTTGCATGTGGGGGGAAAATGTCACTGTGGCCCCGCTGTGTCGCTGCCCTGCTTTCCATACCGCGGTCCGCTAGGCCGTGCGTTTCCCCCCGGCTGTGATCACCTCAGCCCCGCTGACGTGCGCACGGGCCCCGGGAAGGTTGTTTTTAGTCCGAACGTGTCATCGGAGCGTCGTTTATCATCATGTCAGATGTTGTAGCATCACGATCGACATGTGTTGTGTTAGTACAGCTGTTAAATCAGCCATGAGAGGAAAATGAACTGAAACCCCATCATAAACACTGGATGTACCAGTACTATGTGTTATCTTCATATTTAAATCTCATCTGGTTGCAGACAGACCTACTTTACCTACAGTCACAATATTTACATTTAATACATAAAACACTCACAGAGCTGGATCAACCAGCCACTTGGCACCCTATTCCAGCCTGACCACCCCATCTTACATAGTTATTAAACAATATTTTAAATAAAAATAATTATTTATTTAAACTAAATAGCAAGAAATATACTACACGAGCTTTAAAATTTGGTTTTGAGGTAGGGCCCCTCAAATGTTAACATGATATTCTGGTTCAGGTTTGGTCCCGTTGGCTGGGCTCGCTCCTCGATTTCTGCGCTGCACTTAGTAGTTATCTAAAACTAATTTTCTCTCAGGCTCAAGCCGATGATCACGTCAGGTGAAAATACTGGATCAACGTAGTACCCACTACTCAATTGTAATTTCTGTTTATGAGGTTCTTAAGTGGTGCATTATCCTCAACACAATATCAATTAAATCAAATTACCAGGGCAGTTTCCCACTTTTCCATGATGATAATCCAGGTTTGAATAGTAACAACAACATAATTTGCACTGCTATGGAAATTTGCATAACGTAAACCATAATCCTGTGTGTAAAGTACATATGCACTAGACAGTTTGTTGTCCAGCTGTTGTCTGTAATACTTTATATGTTGAAGTTTGATCATATATCTGTTAAGCTGTATAAAGCTGATTCTCATTTAAGTCTGTGTTGGCCTGTTTGCAAAGGCAGAAACGTTATAAAAGCGAAATAAGCCACCTGAACAAAGCTGATTAGAAACGCCCATAACAACAAAGATGGCCGAGATGTTAGAATGAACACACATGTATCTCGCCACTCACCCCACTAAGTCTGTCGTCTCAGTATCCGCTGAACAGGAAGCATATCAAGCCAATCGCGTTGCTGCAGTAATGACAGGGGAAGCCTTTTGAATCTGGGTCAAAGTCAAAACTTATTTTAATCCAATTAGGTTTATGATTCTATAAACACAGGTATTTCCTGATAACAGTTGATAGTGCAGTTGTCGCTCTCACGCCATTTAATTCGATAGGAGCCTGGTCTTGCCAAGATGGCTACAAGGTCGGAAGACTTGCCTATAAGGCATTTTGTATAGTATGCAGCACATTGAAATCAAGTGAAAGCTGCATTTAACATGAGTTGTTTTTGATCATGATCATAATAATTAAACTGCTGTTTAATACTTAACTTTCCAGAGCAACTGACTCACAGAAAACCTACGTACTGGTGGGCCTCTGAGCTTCAACCTTCTTGCAAGATAAGATATTAATATAGAACCATTTTGCATAACCCAAGATTAAAAGTAGTTAACTATGTTTAACAGTTTTTAGGCTTAAAACTCTCCAGTATTTATGCAATAAATATGTATTGCTACTACAGTACTGTCACTGTTGGGTAATAATTCAAATTATTGGACCATGTAGCTGTGAAGGACCATGGAGGAGATGATGTGGAGAGGAGAGCAGCGGGTGAAGGGAGGTCAGAAGGAGCTCATTTGAAAATGTTTGCCTTGGGGCTTGCAAATATGTTAACTCAGTCATGGTTATCATACATGCTAAAAGCTAGAGCGCTGGATGGCCTGAATGTGCACTGACTCTCCAGGAAGTTTAAATACTTTTAAAAACATTGCATGTGTAGTAATGTGCTCTCCACGTTATTCTTCTCCCCCCTGAGTTTCTAGGCAGACTTGTGTCCTAGTTTAAGAACATATGCTGTTTCAGACCCAGTGCTGAGGACCAGAGGGAATAGAGAGGCTGACAGAGATAAAACGCCTGACATCTTGGAGATATGCCTCATAGGATGCCATCTTGGATGAGAAACAGAGTATCAAAGTCTGGCTTGATTTGTTGGATTCAAACCCATGAAGTACAAATATGTATGAAGATGAGTCATAGACTGAACCAGCTCAGCCATGGACATCTCTATGAGGTAGAAGAGCTAAACAGAAGAGGATTATAACAATCAGGCCTCTGAGAGAAGCAGAAATCATGTGATGACCTGCACGTTTAGACAAGTTCAAAGTAGCTGTTTTGGAAGTCCAGCATTAAATAGAAACTGAACCTCTGTAGTATAATAATGTCCAGAGGCAAATATACAAATGAAATGCAGGGCAGAGAGATCAGGATGCAAGGAAGAGAAAGATCAGCTGAAGAAACTCAAGAATGAATTGGCCTCGGGCTCCTTAAAAGAACAGAGCAGGCATCTGTTAACTGCCCTGTTACACCAGCTGAGGAGAGATTCAAAGTTTCATTGCCTGAATACTAAAGCTCAATCGGTAAAAGCAGGTTAATTGCAAAGTTCCCTCTGTTGAAGTGGGTTTAGCCGAAGTGGGTTTAGCCGGACACCCCCGCAGTTTCTGTCATGTGTCCGCCAGATGAATTCAATTTTATGAAACTAGTTCGAAACTGAGATGTGGCTTATTTGACTGCAAATGGAGAGTAGTTATAACTAGAATGACACTCAGAGCGGATCCCAACACCCAACACCCTTTAAAACCATATATATTCACTAGATTTGTATTTTTATCTCACAAAAGGGAACATAGTACTAAAGTTAAATAATCAAATATAGCAAAACCAAATGTAGGATTTTTTTTGTTGTTTTGCTGTTAATTTAAA